GGAGTTTATGCAGTCTCATACTGAGTACTCAACAGGCCCACTAAGAGCACAGAAACATTTTTCAACCCAGTTTGAAACTATTGAATGAGATCCAAGATTATTTAGTTCCAGTGAACATGGAGCACTGATCCCCATCTTCCTTTCCCCTTCATATTGCACCCTCACATTCTCAATCACTTCAACTTATGACATAATAAAGTTAAGTCCACCAAGAACAATAAGAATGTATGAAAAACAAAGAAGTTTCTGGTCTTCATCAACAACAGACAATACCTATTCGGTAGCCTGTAGGGGGATCTGTTCTCTCAGCAATATCTATAAGCAAAACTTTGATCTGAGGTTCAGAAAAATGTAGAGAATCTTCTACTGAAACCAAAAAGACTCACAAAAGCTACAAGAAAATTCCAATAAACTGAAGACCCGAAGAATTGGGTAGAAGAATGAGTTGGAAGGATTTTTTGGGGGAGATGAAAGTGAAGTATGATTAGACAGCGAGAAAAGATACGAACAATGAAGGAGGTAAGGAATCCAATAACAGCAAGCCCAACAAAATAAAACATAAAGCAAAAAAGACAAGAAAAAAATAATACAGGATAGCTGCTAATTCCCTTTGCAAATCAAGAAGAAACTAAAATCAGTAACTTCTAGATCCAGTGTCAAACAAATCCCTAGAAAATTATCATTAACTATGCAAACAATAATAGTAACAACAATTTCTAACTTCTATAAGTGCCTATAAAGTTCTACTTATCAATTACAACTTTATTTGGGAAAAGATTAAAACATGTCCAATTTTTAAGGAAAAATAAAACTAATTCATTGCTAAGAAAGTCATATGGCAACTACATCAATGCATAAATTCTTCAAAAATATTTTAGATTCTTTAATTCTCTAACCATGTCTGTCATCTGCAAACAACTAAATACAAAGAACTTTCTCCTTTTACTAGAGTTAGATATTTTTGGTTCTAGACTCTAGATTTTTGTTTAAGAGTCGTTCTCTTTTTTCTGATGAAGAATTGGGGGGTCTAAATAGATACTTTGATTGATTTGTAAAGTTCTTATATTTCAAGGTGGCAGCCTCTTGGTGCTTTATTAATATCATTCTTCTAAAAAAAATTTAAGAAAGAATGGAATTTTATAAGCAACAAACTGAGGGAGGGTGTTAATCCGCAGAATCTCGTGTGGGATCCAATCATCAATATGATGGACCAGAGATTTATCTTGCTAGAAAAGGAATTATTAATGCAAGGTTGGTAGGCTTACCCCTCATTAAGCACACTCTCTGTAATCTTCCAAAAAATTTTCTCTCCCTCCTTTCCATCCATCAATGTATGTAAAATGGATAGAATTGGATAATCTATCCAATGCCGATTGTTATTGGGCGCAGGGGGGTGGCGGCGTGTGGGGGTGTTAAAGAGTAGAGGCACTATCACCTTGGGGTATGGATGGAGAAAAAGGAGGTGATTACAATAAGAATTATAAAGTTCACCTTCTTTATCAATAACTCCATCTACTCTAGAGATCCCAATCTGTCAATTAGATAACAAATTCCATAACAAATTCCTCAACCATCTTCTTCTATAATGCCATGAAGGGATAAGGTAGAGACAGGACAGTGTTAGAGGGCATTGAATCTGATTAGGTGACATTTAGGTATAATTGGTTCAAAACCTTATCTGTTTGTTAAGAGGTGAACCAACACTTAGGCAAGAAGATTTTGGTCCAATATTATTAGCATCTTAACTAATTCCTTTGAACGTATGTGAGTGAGACCCCCTTGGTGCCCTTTCCTTAAAATGTATTCATATTTCTTCTCTCAACAAATTTCATCTACTCTCGAGTAGGTCTAATATAATACTAAGAAATAGATGAAATGAAATTAATACCCTAGCACTGAAGAAAGACTACCATACTTTCACACACTCAATGTATTGAACATTCTGAAAAACATTTCACTAATTTGAAAAGGGGCATATAAAGTTTATCTGGACTTTAATGGCTGGACCCACATATGTAGAATATAGTTATATTTTAGAATAAATAGTTCCTCATTTGTGCAAAAAAGGAAAAAAAGCCTTCCTCAGGCAGAACCCCGTTGCTCCTTTGGGAAGATTGCTTTGGAATGTCTCTCAATGTTAGCGGGTGATTGGTGGTTTGGTAGCCACTGTACTGTGCGCTTGGAAGTCCCTTGGGGTGGTAGTGCTAGAAGGAGAATTTCTCTCCCATTTGGTGGTAGTACGCCATTAACACTTTAACAAAGTCTTTTCCTGTGACCTTTTTGGGCCTTACGAATGAAGGTTTTATTTCTTCTAAAAAAGCAACATTATTCAACGAGCAGTGTTATTGCATTCAACAAAAGTAGAGCAACATTTCAGCTCAATTCCCACAAGAAAGCCGAATTCCAAATTGTCCCATCAACTCAATGCCGTTCTACGAGTATTATTGTCATATTAGCTATTTTGACATCTACAGGTTAACATATTCTGGGTTTTGATTTGTCTTAAGGGATTTTTTTTGACAAAAAAAAAAAAAAGAGAAACCAGCATATTCAAGAAAGGAAAAGCAGTTTAGTGTGAGTTCAGATGCAGTACAACGCATAACAAAAAGAATTGCTTCCAGAAAACTACTTTAAAATCCAAATACTGCAAGTTACAGATAATTCATATACACCACTATAAGAAAAAAGGGAATTACTTGTATGGTCGCTAAGACGCCACATGGCCCACCTTCATGCTGCACTAGGCCCATAGATGTTTCTGGATCAGGGCTAAACCTGCGGGAAAGATACATGACATTAGCCAAAAAAGGCTATGCAAATGACCTGTAATAAAATTAATTTGTTCAATTACCATAAGAAACTAGAAACAATTGTAGCCAATCCAAACAGCAGGACAACTTTCTACAAGAATTGAGATCCCAACTCAAGCAAAAGATAAGCAATATATACAGACAGGGAAAGAGAAAAATAATGATGCATACTCATCACAAATTTCCAGCAGTAGATTGCCTATTTTGTTCCTTTCCAAGTACATTTCATCCCCAATATCCAACTTTTCCTTTTTCTTTGATGAAGAGTATAATTTACTAACCAAAATGTATCATTACCTTTATTTAACAACCTAAACCAAGAAAAGATTATAACAGCCATGGAATGTAATGCCTTTAGTAAGCTGGCTAGGACAAAGAATCATGTATTTGAGTACATTTTGCAGGAGTTCATGTCATATGGTCAAAAGTTGTCCGCAATTTAGTAATCAAGATTAGTTTTCCATAGTGTAATATGACCTTGGGAATCTCAAAATTCCACATCATGCTGACAATCAGTGGAAAATGATCTGGAGAAAGTCCATGAATTTCTCTAGAAAAAACTGTCTTCTACTCCCATTCGAATAACTTTCCACCTAGCAATCGCTCATAAACCAATGTTTCTATTACCTGATGCAGATAGAAAGCACGGATACTTTGTCATGGAAGTTGTAAATTATTATTTGGTTCAATTAATTACAATCTATTTCTTTATGTTAATCTTTTCATGGTTCCTTAGTGATAGAAGAATGTTCATGATCTATCACAGTGCACCTAGTTGTTGTCCTATGACGCCTCAACATAAATTCCACCAGTCTGCAAAATACATTTTAAAAGAGATACCAACCGTACAATAAATGACGTATGCAATATCCAAAAATAGCCAATTGATACCATAAACCCACAAGCTTGAAGGCTGAAGCTTCCCTTTCTCGTAAGTACAGGTCATGTTATTACCATAAAACATTGGAAGGGACTAATGTTATTACCCCATATACAGTTGCACCAACCTTCCTTAGGTACATCTCTAATCGAGTAGCTTTGTGAGGTAAAAACAGAAAACAATAGTTTACCATTGTCAAAATTCTGCAAGTTCAACTGCTGCTTATATGGCAAACAATCCATTTCAATAACCAAATTCCTGGAAACCTAGAAAATGTCGTATCTAAATTGGGCCCTAGACTTCACTTCTTTCTTCTCGAGCAAGTCTCGTAATGACCATGGCGCAATACAGCTGAAGATATATCGTAGCACAAACTTGAACCCAATTCAAGAAATTCAGCGCACAGACGATCATGAGAGAGACCAAAACACATACCTTATTCCCTGATTAGTCCACTGAGCAAGTATGTCCTTTGAGACCTCACTACCAAACACCATGAACAACAACTGATTCGCATCTTCCAGCGATAACTCCTTCCCGGAATTACCCTCTACCGCTACCAATTCCTTCTCTTTACTCACAGAAACGGCACTGTCATGGGAAACTTTGATCGGTGAAGCTGAAGAGGCACTCTTCGTTGCCAACATCCGCTTTTCGGCTGCAGAGGCCATGAGCTCGCGCTGCAATCTCCGGCTCTTCGCCTCAGGCGACTCCTCCGGCGAAGAAATTGCTGTAGCTCCAACGCAGGCACCGGCTCCGTCCCGAGGTTTACTCCGCTTCGGCTCCGGGGGTGTATGTTGCATGCTCATCCTCAAAGCCATTCTCATGTCCTCTTCTTCTTGTTGATCCGCCATTGCAGTACCTCACAGATTACAGAAAAAGGAGCTACTTTTAACGAATTAGGGCTTTTCCTCGAGTCTGCAAATCGGATATGATTTGAACTGTTCGCAGACCAAATGAATTGAATGAATTATATAAATTAGAAGATTCACTTCGATATTAGTAACTGATAAGAGCCGACATAATGGATTTTGAATTTAAATCTAAACCCTAACAAGTTAGGGTTTGGAATTTCACGCACCAGTACAGCAAATGAATCGAGTATAAATGAGAAGATTTTGATTTGAGAACGAAGATACGAATAGGAACTGCCAAAGTAGGATTAAAATCTTGCACAAGGTTAAAACCGTAAAAAAAAGCTTTTATACCGAAAGAAAACTGTAACGTGTCTCTGTACAAGCTGGACCAGGAAGAACGGTAACGTTTTATCTGTTCATTGGTGCCTAAAGACTGTTTTACCCCTCCATTGTACCGAAGATAGTGAATTCGAAATCATGGCAATGTTGATGGCATTTTGGGGAATACGGGAGCCATGCCTTTGCTTTCTTTCCCTTTGAGAAGAGGAAAGCGTTTTTGTTTCAAGTTGTCAGAGAATCTATGCTTGGAGTAAATCGGAGGTGTGGAGTAGTTGCGTAAAATCATTCGTGTGGAGTCAGTGGTTCAGTTATGTATTTACAGCCGTTAGATCTTTCTAATTTTTAATTTCGCTTTCACGAACATGAGGCTTCGTACTGGTTGTGCTTTTTTCCGTTAGCGAACTACTAGTGGAATTTTTAACTTCTAGTGGCTACTTTAATTAAAGAAAGTAAAGAAAAAAGAAATATATATGTGTATTTACCAAATGCGTATATATTACTTAATTTAATTAATTAATATTTTAATATTTTTTTAATGTAATTTAAATTATTCAAATTCGAATATTTTTCAAAATCATGTTAAAAAAAATATTAATTTAATATTAAACTACTGTGAATTAATTTAATATTAAACTATTTATTTATTCATGTCATATTTTAATAACATATAATTTAAAGATATTTTCTAGATCAATATAGAAAAAAGTTATATTAAAAATAGATAATTTTTTATAATGAATAATTTAATATAAAATAACTACTTAATGAATAGTAAACTTAACTCTCATCAAAGTAAATAATTTAATTACATCAATTATATAAGTCTTCTATAAATAATTATATAGTTATAATTGGAAGGTTCTATTAAATTGGTCAAACTGTTTAAAATATATTATTTTTTTATGTTAATTAAATATTTTGAAGTATTAATTTAATAATAAATTAATTTTTAACATTAATATATATAATCACTTTTTAATATTTTTAAATAAAATATAAATATTGTAAATAAATGATCATATTATATTTCAATTTAAATTTTTTCATTACAATTTAGCATATACCTTGCAAAATTATTTCAGTAATTCCTAATCAAAATAACAAAAAATTTATACACAAAATTAATTAAAATATAAATATTTTATATAATAATATGAATGAAATAAGTTGAAAATAATAGTTATTATAAATATTTTTTTATTCATTTACATATGTTATTATCATATATTTTACTCAAACAAAATAGTTGGTAGTTATGGTTTTCATTAATATTAACATTTAATTATTACAAGTTAAATAAAATGTGCAAAATTATAAATAATTTTTGAAAAAATTTGATCAGCTAGAGCTTATATAAAAACACAAAGAATTATTTTTTTGTATACATTTAAAGATTAATATCAATATTTTATTTAGTCGATTTTCTTTTAAATTCACAATTAGTTCCTAATTATAATTACCATAGTAAAATTAAATTTGAAATATTTCATAAAAATTAAATTGTTAAATATGATTCCAAGAGTTCATAGCTTTATAGTAAACGCTTCCGATTTGCTAGAATCTAAATCCCGCAAATATCTTCAACAGAAATCCGTTCATAATTTTTTTAAAAAGTTTTTACCTTAAAATAGAGGAATCTTTTGTTTCATTTCTCAAAAAAAGAGATATTATCCTAATATATTTTTTTTAAAAGGTCAGAATTTCCTCCGACTCCACCACCCCATCCTATATATATATATATATATATATATAATAAATTAATTAATGATATTTATTAATTAATATAATTAATTATAAGAATTGATAAATAAAATGACAGTGCAACTCAAAATTAGGACCTCGTATTACTAACTAGTAGTTGTTTAGTCCGAGCCGTAAGATGCGAAACAGAAAAAATAATATAATGAACTAAAACCATACAACGAACTCTCCGAGGAAAAAAAAAAAAAAAAAAAAAAAAATGCTCGCGCGCTGTAACCGCCGAAGCAGATACCACCAGACATGAGGAAGAAGAAGAAGACGAAAGCCGTTAATGATATCTTCACAGTGACAACTGAAGACCACTCCCTCACTGCCTCACTCACCTCCCGCCACGTGTCTCCCCCGATCATTCCGTCTCCTCCACCAGATAACCCTCCCTGTCCCCCCTCTTCTGTCATATTTATCCAATTCCATTCCTCGAACCGATCAATATTCTCGGTAATCGATAATTCCCTCTCTCTATCTATTTCGCTTTCATCTTCGCTTAGTTCTTTGAGGCGCTGAACTGATAGAGCAGCTTCATTAGAGAGAAAGATATGGATCACGCGGCGGAGGCGCACAGGACCGATTTGATGACCATAACTCGCTTCGTGCTGAACGAGCAATCCAAGCACCCGGAGTCGCGCGGTGATTTCACTATCCTCCTCAGTCACATCGTTCTCGGCTGTAAGTTCGTTTGCTCTGCCGTCAACAAGGTTATTTTTATCATTTTGCTTTTTTATTCTTTTTTCGGCTTTGTTCTTATTTTAATTATGATTTGGGTGGCCTAATTAAGGTCTATGGTTATTAAAAAATTCGGACTAAATCGACTTTCTTTTTTTTTTTTTCCACTGAAATTATTTGAAAATACAACTTGGAGTAAACTCTTTTTTAATCTCTAATTGGCCTTGTTATTTTCTTTTTTCTGAAGTAGGCTGGTCTTGCTAAGCTCATTGGACTAGCTGGAGATACCAATGTTCAGGTATGTCTCTTCTGAGTTCACCATTTCTGTTCTGTTTACAGCTTTTTTTTTAATTTCTTTTTTTTTTTAAAAAAAATTGAGATGGCAATTGCCTGCTTTCGTTGAAGGGTGAGGAGCAAAAGAAGCTGGACGTGTTGTCAAACGAGGTTTTTATCAAGGCCTTGATAAGCAGTGGTCGAACGGTGAGTCATGAGGACGACTGTGACTTTTTCAGAAGCTATTTGAATTTTAATGATTCCATCTAACAGTTTGGACCCTTTGTCAGTGCATCCTTGTCTCGGAGGAAGATGAAGAGGCGACATTTGTTGAGTGCTCCAAGCGTGGAAAGTAAATTCATTGCTCTCTGTTACCTTACGATTGTTCTGTTTCAAACGTGTCTGCAATTTCTGTTTGTTTTGACAGTACCTTTTTCCTAATTGGCTTTTGAAATGCTATAGGTACTGTGTTGTTTTTGATCCATTGGATGGATCCTCAAACATTGACTGCGGGGTTTCCATTGGAACGGTCTGTTTTTTTAACCTTTTTTTTCATCCTCAACTTCGAGTTGATTATTTTTATCCCAGTAGTGTCCCAAAGCATGTATGGGATCACTTGACTTGATATGGAAGTGTTCAATTGAATCTCTTGTTTTCTGTTTAGATTTTTGGAATTTACATGGTGAAAGATGACGAACCAACCATAGATGATGTTTTGCAACCTGGGAAGAATATGTTGGCAGCTGGCTATTGCATGTACGGAAGCTCTTGCATGGTACAATTCTAATAAACCTTGCGTTAGTAGAATCATGAAAATTTGTCCAATGAAACGGGTTCCTGATCAGTTCATACTTTGTATAATTCATTGATACTTTTCCAAATGCAATGAATTTTTCAGTTTGTGCTGAGCACTGGAGGTGGTGTTAATGGTTTTACCCTGGATCCATCTCTTGGAGAGTTCATTCTGACTCACCCAGATATAAAGGTATTATCAGTGAATCATTACATTTTCATTTACCTTATGATAAGCCATCAAGGGGATGACATTGGTCCAGAAAGATGTATCGAGTGCTACAAGTTTCAAATTATCTTGACAAGCACCCTAAAACATTTATGACTTTGTTTTCATATATATATTGTGGGGAACATCTGAGAAGAATTCTTTTGCACTGTCTTTTAACTGAATTGATTTTAGTGCCATATGCATCACTCCCTTCCCTTACACCGGAATGAAACAGTGTTTGTTTCTTCAGAGGGCATTCTGCATTATCTATGACAAATCTGTTCTCTATTATAAATATTCCTTGTGTGATTTGGAGTACTTAGAATCTGTTTGTTACTTTTCTACATAGATACCAAAGAAAGGAAAGATCTATTCAGTAAATGAAGGAAATGCAAAGAACTGGGATGGTCCAACTGCCAAGTATGTTGAGAGTAATCTGGCAACATATAATCTTTTTCACTTATTCTGCTTGCAGATTCTGACTTTCTTTGATTAATTCAGGTATGTTGAAAATTGCAAGTTTCCAAAAGATGGTTCTTCCCCGAAATCTCTGAGATATGTTGGGAGGTAACATCTTTTCTCAACCTGGTCTAGGAGTTACAAATGTTTGGGTCATGATGATTTGGATTTCTGCCACTAGTGAATAATAAGACTGATCAAGATAAGTGGCTGAGCTATATATTTGGTTGTATAACAAATGTCAGGGTATCAGCAAAGAGTTCTTTCTTTCCAATAATAACACTGTCATTTTCTACTCTGCTTTAGAAACTATATTTGCTAAAAGTTTACTTCATCATTGATCCACATTCTGTCAAGTTGTCTTTCCAATCTTTTTTGTGGTATCAAATTTGATGATACGTCTACAAAATTATAAAGATTCTTTTGCTAAATTTGACATGTATCTAAAAACATTCATGCCCTTTTCCATCATTGAAGTGAAAAAGACTATTGAAGCCGGAATTTGTTAATAGCATAATAAGCATGTTACTAGCTGCAAGCTACTCCCGTCAACTACTGATATCAACTGTTTAAGTTGGACTACCAAATCATCTTGTGCATTTATAATGACCTTTCTAAAATCTAGTCCCACAAGTTCATCATGCATACAAATTCCGTAAATTATAGAAAGTTCTTCCCTACTTAATGAATGGTCTATGGAGAAATCCTTTTGGGTATATATTAATCAACTACGCTGATGATCCTGGATTACCAAACTCACGTTTTACATCTTGTGCATATATTATCCATTCACTTGCAGCATAAATCTGGTGGAATCACGAGTGGCTTAAAAAGTTTTCTCGATTTGGTTATAGACATTGCAATTTTAAGCATGTTTTTTTTGTTTATTATATTTTCTTTTCTCCAATGGTCTGTGCTTATATACATTGTTTATTATATTTACTTTATTTTCCTATGATGATGATACACGTCGTTGGGAACAGTATGGTAGCTGATGTTCACCGCACATTTCTTTATGGAGGCATCTTTTTGTACCCTGCTGATAAAAAAAGCCCCAACGGGAAATTGCGGTATGTTGGTTACAGATTGGATATTAGTATGCTATGACTAGTGAGTACATGAGAATTAACCTACAAGTTATTTTTTATCTTATCTGCATGTACTAGTGTTCTCTATGAAGTCTTTCCCATGTCATTCTTGGTGGAACAAGCGGGAGGTCAGGCATTCACTGGCAAGGAACGGGTATTGTCTTTATTAACCCTAACTTATTACAAAGTTTAGCAACTATTTAACCACTTATATGTATGTTATTGTGCCAATAAACTAGGGAATGGAGAAAAGTGCTTGAATTGCAATACTGTCGGGTAGCCTATTTTTTGATGAAGTCATATGATTGATACCTCCTTATCAGGAGATGTAAAAAGATATGTTCATATATTCTGTCCATGACTATGAAACAAGCATAAATATCTGTTAAACAATTCTATATTTAATTAGATGGTTTAGAGTCAGAATCTATCATGACAATATAGTCGGTCTTTTGTCTCATTGCTTGGCTTTGGATATGTCTGTCCACTTATATACACACCCACCGAATATGGATGTCTGTCTATACTCGCATGTAAATAAATGATTTACCTTAAGTTCATAACCTCGCGAGTGTATGCCAACTCTGGTCAGCTGCTCAAGTTTATATTTCTTTTTCCAAGAGTTTTTCTTTTAAATTTTGAAGCAGCATCTGACGAAGACACTGTTACTTTCCCAGGCTCTTGACTTGGTTCCCAAGAAGATACATGAGCGGTCTCCTATATTTCTTGGCAGCTACGATGACGTGGAGGAAATCAAGGCACTTTATGCTGCAGAAGAGAGAAAATAATAGATAGTAAACTTTTTATTCCTGTTCTTCTGTGCTCTTTACATTGTCTTACTACATGTCTACATCTCCATCTCTAATAATTTCTTCATAGTGTAGAAGCCTTTTTGCATTTTATTTTGTAATGAAACGATATAATTGTTGATCGATTTGCGAAATATAATTCATATATTTGACATCATAGTTGGAGCTGACTTTATTATGTTATATATATTCCAAAAAATAATAATGATGGAAAAGTTGATGTTAATATGTTTTTTTAAGCCATAAAAATTATATACATGAATTGAAAATATTTATTGGTTAAATGTTTCATGTTTTTCGAAAGAGATATAAAAAATATATAGTGACATACATAAATTAATATAACGATTTATATACCACAAACATAATGTAATTAAAAATTTTTATATTAGCACAACAATCTTTATTAGTTTATTTGTAAATTTTGGAAACATTTTAAAACAAAAAACATAAACTACCAAGTTTTAACTCAACAATTTATATAAGTTATAGTTTAAAATAAATATCCAAGTTTTACCTCTTTCTTATAACAAGATTAATAAATATTTAAATTTTTAATTTTTAATTTAAAATAAACAATTTTTTTAATTAAAATATAACATATGTAGTTTTTTACTGTTCAACTGGATTTCAATAAGCAATAACACTAAACAAATATTGATTTAAGCACATAGTCGAAAGCAATTGATCATATTTTGTGTTAATTGATGGAGACCCATTCTTCTTTGTCATATGTTAAGGCTAAAAAATAACTTTTTTATGTGACTGAATCAAAATCTGAATAATTAAGATTACCATGTTTGCTTAAGAAATTGAATTAAAATGTATGTGGCACTAGTCAAGTTTTCCAATATAATAATTGTGAATTTTTTCCTTCCATAACCAACTTACTTTAATATGTGTCCAAAAAATATGTTAGAATTTATTTAATATGATAATTATATAAAAAATTCAACCGATACTTTTTTAGTACAATATAGTATATTAGTTTAACGTTAAATAATAATTTAAATTTAAACTTTTAATATAAACGAAGATATGAATAATTATAAAAAAAAAAACATATTGATTAACTTTAATTTGTCCTAATGCAAGAAACTCATATATATTTGGATAATGCAACTCCAGTTGAATGCAACGCATACATATATATGGTAGAGAATAGTATTATATTTTTATGATTTAGTTGTTAAGTGATTTAAGTTTTATAATTTTTTTTATTATTGTAAACAAATTATAAAATTAAAATTTCACATAAAAGATAAATTTTAAATTTCAATAAAGTCAATTTTTAAATAGTAAAACCATAATTCTTGTTAATTTTGTTAAGTGATTTAAGTTTTATAATTTTTTTTATTATTGTAAACAAATTATAAAATTAAAATTTCACATAAAAGATAAATTTTAAACTTCAATAAAGTCAATTTTTAAATAGTAATCCATCATTTGATCAAAATAAAAAGTTACGCCTTTTTTTCTTCTTCTTCTTTTTTTTTTACCTACATATTTAAAAGATACATGTTTAAAAATAAAATTTAGACTAAATAAAATACAAATTAATATATAACATTTACAATTTCCAATTTTATTGTCTCCATTCATTTGTTCTCCAAGCACCAGCCGTTTGGGAAAATTCAATCCGCGTGTCATAACGAAAATCCGCTCACACCAAACTATCCCTCTCGTCAGCCCACCTCCTCCTTGTTGCCTCCCTCGTCTTCCCCTCGACAGGACAATCATCAATTGCGAATTCCTTTTTAATTTTCTGCTTTTTGTGTAATTGTCAATCAAAAAATTCTCACCAACTTATCCGACGTTTAACTCCTCAGATCTAATCTAGCTAATTAATCAAAACCCAAAAACCCTCCCACTAAGTCAAGAAAAAATGTCAAGCGGAAGCGACGACGAGGACGAGCTCCTTCAGATGGCATTGATGGAGCAATCGCAGAGAGATGTCAGCTACCAGAAACCCCCTTCCTCCAATTCCCGCAAGCCGGTCGCGAACTTCGTGCAACCGCCGTCGCAAACCAGGCCGCAGAAGCCGGCGGGCAGTTCTGTTTCCAACGCCGTGGCGCACAAAAAGGCTGCGGCAAGGAAGATGTCTATGGATGATGATGATGAGTCGGAGTTGGAGATACTTAGCATTTCGAGTGGGGACGATGATGTGGGAAGGGATCGCGGAGGAGGAGGAGGGAGAGGAAAGGGTGGAGGGGGAGCCAGGGGACTGAAAGAAGAAGAGAGCGCGTGGGACGGAGAGGAACCTGATTGCTGGAAGCGGGTCGATGAAGCTGAGGTATGCATTGCGTGCCAATTCTTGTTACCGTGTTGGTAGTTGTATGTTTGTAGTGATTTGATTGTGTTTAAATTGATGAAATTGTAACTGTCCGATTTAGGCGACAATTCAGAGTTAGTGTTAATCTGAGATTAACAATGAAACTTTCATGGGACTCTTATTAAGCTTTCACTATCTAAGTGATAATTCAACTGTTTATGGATGTTATCAAGCAAAAGGTACACATTGAAGTATGATGTGCTGAATTGAATAGAATGAAAATTCGCCAGCACCTACTGGACATTGGGGCATGAAAGGAGATGAATGTTTCAATCACTTGCTTAATTCTGTCTTTATTCTTAATCTTCTTCCATTTCAGTTCTTGGAATTGGAGCTTATGTTTTACACAGATTTAAGCTGGTTCTTGTCTGACAGCTCGCTCGTAGAGTTCGTGAAATGCGAGAGACAAGAACAGCACCGGTGGCTCAAAAGTTTGAGCGGAAGGTTTCAGCAACAGGTGTAAGACCGGGGCTTAATAGTTTGCAATCTTTTCCACGTGGCATGGAATGCATTGATCCATTGGGATTAGGGTAAAACTCTTGATTTTGATACTACTTTTCTTGGATCCCATCCCAAACTCATAGTTTCTGTTCTCTTCTTGTGGAGATGGCATATGGTTCTGCATCTACTAAATAACTTTGCATTTTGCTAACAGCATAATAGATAACAAGTCACTGAGGTTGATCACAGAGGCATCAGAAAGTTCTCCATCAAAAACTGATAGAGATTATCTGGATAGTAACCTTCGTGGTATTTCTCGTCACTTATTTCATTCTTTACAGTTTTTCAAGAATATTATTTTCTCTGATATAGGCAGTGATTGTGGTATGGTGGTTTTGTATAAAGGTAGCTTCTGATTTTTGGTGCCATGTATATTTTTGTGGTCATACAAATGATTAAGTTCCCCTGAATGTTTGCAGAGAAGTTGATGTATTTCTCCGAGAAGTTTGATGCTAAGCTGTTTCTAGCTCGGATTCACCAAGATACAAGTGCAGCAGATTTAGAGGCTGGGGCTGTTGCACTAAAAACTGATCTTAAAGGACGAACTCAGCAGAGAAAACAATTGGTTAAAGACAATTTTGATTGTTTTGTGTCTTGTAAAACAACCATTGATGGTATTAAGTAGATCATCTTGCCCTGGTCCTGATGGTGTTTTTTGTGTGTGTATATGTGTTTCTTTAAATTGGTTTTCATACTGTGAATATTATATAGATATTGAGTCAAAATTGAAGCGGATTGAAGAAGACCCTGAAGGTTCTGGGACTTCTCACTTGTACAATTGCATGAAAGGTGTAAGCTCACTGGCCAATCGTGCTTTTGAGCCTCTGTTTGAGAGACAGGTTGGTAAGATATGAAGTTTGGTTTACTTGGAGGTTCATGATTTGTGCAATGTTGCTCAGTATAATTTTGTTTGTTTCTTCCATATATTGTAGGCACAAGCCGAGAAGATCAGATCTGTCCAAGGAATGCTTCAGAGATTTCGAACATTGTTCAATTTACCCAGTACCATTCGTGGCAGTATTAGTAAGGGTGAATATGACTTGGCTGTTAGGGAATACAAGAAGGCAAAATCAATTGCTTTGCCCTCTCATGTATGCAAGTTTCTTGTTCCCTTAATCTCCTTCTGCAGATTCTGATATTATCCATCATAACTTTTAAATCTTAACTGATGTTTTAGTTGAAAATATTTATATTAAAATTAAGAGTTCACCTTTTGGTGAAATTTTTATTAAAATAGGTTGGAATGTGAATAGAAAATCAACTCTATGATGCTACTTCTTGTTGAGTGTTTTGAACATTAACAACCAATCGTATTAGGGATGATATAGCAACAGAAGAACAAACTTTCTGAGGTTTTTTGGAGTTGATTTGGGAAAAAGGTCAGGATGCTGCTTTTGTTGTTAAGAAAGACTAGGCCATAAATATGTTATCATAGTCACAGTTTTCTTCTTTTTTAAGATGACCACTGCTGTGGAGTTTGCTATGGTTTTCTAAAGTGGAAATATGTTAGTTGGGATGAAAATCGATTAACTTTCTGTTGGGACACTGAAAGAGTATGTGATTAAATGAGATGAAAATCGAATAACTAGGGTAGCTATTACTTCTTTCCACGGCCTTTGGAGGGTAGTATTCTTGTCTGAAGTTCTGAAAGTTTTACCCACCTTGATGTGGAAACTGGGGGAGTTATTTTATTTTTGGGAGAAAAAAAACGTGTTATTGGAAAGACATGAAGAAGTTCCTTGTAAGGTTTTTGGACTGAAGCTAAAATATCGCTCTTTCCTTTGTTCAGCATCTTTGGAGAGAGATATGTCTTCATATTTCTCCTGTTATCCCTCTGTCTACTAGGCTTTTTTTCTTCCTTGTGCCAAATTGACTGGCAAGAATTTTTTATTGTCTGATAAAGGTCAGAATAATGACACATTATCGATGCTGGATGTCTGCACTCTAAGACAATGGTCTCTTTCCAATAGGAGGAAGATGTCAAATCAAAAACTTCTGCTTCTAGATAAATCATTGTATTATTGTTTTCTTCTTTCAAGATAAACATGGGTTTATGCTTGTGCTTCAAGGTTGCTTTCCTTTTTGCTAGCATCTGCATACAAAAGCAAAGGACTAGTTCTCCTTCTTCTTTCTTCCATCTCTAATTGAAGAGAATGTCTGACTAAATTATTATCTGAACTCTTTTCACAAGACTTGTCTGAGTGTTGATATGCTTAGAATAGTGTCTGCAGAATATATGCTTCATTTTCTTGTAAACACTTTTGCTGCCTACATGAATATATTTACAATTACAAGTCCCTTTCAGGTGAATATACTTAAACGAGTCCTTGAAGAGGTTGAGAAGGTGATGCATGAGTTCAAAGGTACACTTTACAAGTCGATGGAAGATCCAAAAATAGACCTGACAAATGTAAGCTGTTAACTGCCTTTTCAATGACTATGACAATTTACTTGGTCCTGAACAGATTGAAAAGATAAGAAAGACCTATAGCCTTTCTTGTCCTCAGTAGTAGTTTGAATAGCAATCCAGTTGTTTGTATTCACACTCTCACTTTCCTCTATCTAGTGTGTAATAGAAAGAGACATGACGAGTACGGGTAAAGAGACACGACGACTTTCCTGCAATTGTTTGTGTTCTCACTCTCACTTTCCTCTATCTATAGCCTTTAGAATTATTATATTCCAAAAGGACAAATCTGTTATTTACTAGTGCATTGTGTACCAATTTGTATTTGATTCTTACTAAATTAAAAATGGGAGAAACATTGAAGCTTTGAATTGGCCGAGGGGTGTACAGGCATTAAAGTAATAAATGTCTTGAACTTATAATCATCTTTTTTTGTTCAATACTGTTTTGAGGTTTCTTTTTCAGATACTGAAGAGGTGTTATGGTTTATGCAGCTTGAGAACACTGTGAGGTTGTTGTTGGAGTTGGAACCTGAGTCTGATCCTGTATGGCATTACTTGAATGTTCAGGTTGGTGGACTAATCACACTGATTTTTTTTCTTTTGGGCTAATACATTAAAGCCATTACTTTAATGTATTTGCTGCTTAATTGCGTATAGCACTCGTGTGTTCTGTATTCTGATTCGAGCTTAGTGCAGAGAGAATTCATACTCCTTTTGTTTAATTTATCCCAACAATTGAAAGGTAGATTGAAGTAATGGATTTTTCTTTGAAAGAGAGGAAATGGCTCCCTTTTTGTTCTTTAGAAGCATGAATTCTGTCTGAAGTGTTAGCACCTTGAGAGTAAAACTGGTCATTTCTTGCTGCATTCCATGAAAAGAGAAATTCACATCCCAGGTGTTGGGATTAAGTGCAATGTATATCACGAAAGTAAGTGGCCAGGAGTTTCACTCCACTTTCTTGTTCAAGCTCCAAGGAAATGATATATTATAAGTGCTGGAATCTTTCAAAAGAGCTTTTAAGAAAGATTGGACATTGAAAACACCTCCAGCTTCAAGAATTCACCCAATTCTATCTTCCACCTCCATATTCACCCTCTAAATAAAATATTCAAAGAAGAAAGTAAGTTCTAACCGTCTGTTTCCAATCATTTATGTTTTGGATGAGAAGGATATCCCAGAACACCTTTCAATTTGGGGTGAAAAATATGAACCTTGCTTGAAGTTCTTTATTTCTATAATCAATATCTTTACCATCCGATAACTCTGCCTCTGAACTGGCAGGCTTCTGTTCTTGGAAAAGAGAGAAATTCCTCTTTAGTTAGTGGTTAAAATTACTATGTAATTGGACGGTCAGCTTGTTGATTTTCCAGGCTTGTCTTTTGGCAGAATCACAGAATTCGAGGCTTGCTTGAGAAGTGCACTTTAGATCACGAAGCAAGGATGGAAAGTTTGCACTATGAGATGCGTGAAAGAGCTTTATCTGATGCAAAGTGGCACCAGATTCAACAAAGTTTAGCTCCATCTGTGAGTGTACCTGTTAAGAATTGTGATAAGATGATAAGAGAAAGAACTGAGATTTGGTGCCCGTTAATGATGTATTAATTGTATTATTTTTTCCTTTGCTGTCAGTCAGATGTTGACTACTCTCTTGGGAATGACCAATTGCTAGTTGATTCACAACCTCTGGCCTTGACTGGGGAAGAAGTTGATGCTCTAAGAGGAAGGTATATCAGAAGGTTAACTGCTGTGCTTATCCATCACATACCGGCATTCTGGAAAGTAGCACTTTCTGTTTTCAGCGGAAAATTTGCAAAGGTATTCTAAAGATCTTATTTTGTCGTAAGCTTACTTAAACATAGTGGTATAAATTATGTCCTATCTACCATAATCTTTGATGAATCTGGCCGCACATTTAATCTTCTATCATATTATTTTTTAATATGTACATGCATTTTTATAGCACTTGAAATGCAGTTTCTCAAGAAAAAATGTTACTGCCTACAGCAAAGAATTTACTGGTTTGCTTATTGGGCCATTAGCAGTATAAAAAATTATCTTATTTGAATATTAGTATCATGAAAATTATCCTTATCGTTTTATATGGATTTGTTCAGGCTGTTTAAAAAGTTTGCTCTTAATGTTAAACTAAGATTAAGCAAGCAGTTTGTTTACAGCTTTGGTCCACGCTGGTCCCAAATCACTTTTTGATGGAGAGCTTGTTGACCTCATAGGATTTTGTTATCTTTGTAAAATTTTGCATCCTTTGGAGCTGAATTTCCTTGGGGCCTTCTGAACAGAACAGCCTCCTTTACAGTCTCAGAAAATAAAAACTGAAATAAACATAAGTGAGACTGTAGCAATGTCCACTTGGACAAACTTGTCTTTCTCATTGCAACTTTTTTACTTATATGGTCTTCTATTTACCTTTTATTTTCCTGTTGGAATGTTTGCTTGCTTAAGCTAACTGAATATAAAGTGTACATTTATACTTGCACTGTTGTAACTTTGTACCTGGACATCGTTAAACTTGCTTTCAAATGGTGGAACAAAAACATATTATTGCTTAGTTTTTGAGTTCTGATTATTTCTCCTCTAAGATGTATGTTTTCTTTATGAAAAATGAGAATGAATACTGCCTTTCTTTACTTCATTTCTTGTCCCTCAGTCTTCCCAAGTTTCTGACGCCTCAACAATTAAAAATGAAGAAAAGGTTGGAGAGGGGAGATATTCAAGTCATTCTTTGGATGAAGTTGCTGGAATGATATGCAATACTATATCTGTATATGAACAAAAGGTGAACAGATACTTATGCATCTCATTGTGTCAAATTGAAATTTATGTCTGGGGTGATTTATTCTCTTTGAAGGATAGAAGTGACAGTGAAAAAAGATGCTTCAGCATTTGTATTTGATGTAATTGCAGATTTTGAGAATGAAATTTAAAAAAAAAATGTTTGCACTAGGTTTTAATGTAAGATCTAAATTTTATGTTCACTTTTACCACAGATGCAACCAGACTGAATTTGGTTAATAATCATAATTGTTTTCTCATAGTTGTACTAGTTATAGGTTGCATGTTGTCTCTGTTCTCTTTTTTATTTCCATTTCAAGTTTTGGTCGCGTAAACTTGTGTCTGGTAGATTAAGTCTAGCTTTGTTGATCGCGAGGAACATAGGCTTCATTCATCATAAGCTTTATGGAATCATGTCAAAATGGTAGCAGTATTAAATAAAGCAGTTAAAGTCTGGATATCTGGGAAGAAGTTTTGTAATTTTTTTGTAGGTCATGATGTATTTGTTTTCTACAAAGGCATGTCTCAGTTGTTCTATATCCATCATTTCTAGCATTTCACTTTATGATTCTATGAAGTCCAAGTTTGTTTTATTTCTAACTTTTCATTTTGTTCCATTCCTTTACTGCTTTATACTGTGAATCTTGCATGTCTAGTGTAAATACAATAATAAATAGAACTAGCCAATTGATCTTCAGAATTTATCTGATTTCTCTTATTCTGTTAATCCCAGTACACTTTGCGAATCTCTTTTCTGATCATTGCAACTATTCCATTGTTGAAAGATAATCCTGTTGCTGCTATATTTGAATATTCACTAGTGTTTGTAGCATTGTAGTATTTCATTAGTACCACAGTATTTCAGTATTCACTTGTCATACGGCTTGTACGTTGTCTATTAAGCTTTTTACTGTTATCGTAGGTTCATAGCACATTTCGTGATCTTGATGAGTCAAATATTCTACGCTCATACATGAGCGATGCCATAAAGGAAATATCAAAAGCATGCCAAGCATTTGAATCGAAAGAGTCAGCTCCTCCTATTGCTGGTATTTGAGCTTGTCTGATGCCACTATTTCTTTAACTTATCAAGACATTACTTGTTTAAACTTATTTCTTTGACAGTCATGGCCCTAAGAGCCCTTCATGCTGGAATCACTAAAATCTATATCCTAAGGCTTTGCTCTTGGATGCGGGCATCAACAGATAGTATCTCAAAAGAGGAAACATGGGTCCCTGTATCCATTCTTGAAAGGAATAAGTCTCCTTATGCAATCTCTTACTTGCCATTGGCATTTCGCTCGGTTATGACCTCAGCAATGGATCAGATCTACTTGTAAGTATATAGGGCTTATTGCCAAGATTCTTTTAGGGATATTGGACGAAATGTGCTTAAAGCATTTAGGTGTTGATTGTTGCTAAGATTTTAGGGATATTGAAATAAATGTGTTAGAAGCATTCAGGTCTTGATTTTTAAGAGAAGCAGTTACTGGATTTTTAAATAAAGATGCATTTTGTAAAAAAAAGATACTTGTCATCTGGATAAATAATATATTGGGGTTCACTTTTTATTTTAAAAAAAGATAAATAATATATTAGGGTAAATAGGTAACTGGCATTTTTAATAGAACTTAAGCCAATATAAGAAGTATCAGCGGGAGGTGCTTTTCTTTTTAGTCACCTGTAAACGCTTAACAAATATCTCATTAATGTGCCAAATGGAGAAAATTAAGTAAGGTGCTTATAAGCTTTAAGCAGAGCCCTAGACATGCTCTAAGAGCAGTTGTTTTTTATCCTTTATTTAAAAAAAGTGAAAGGTAAATTATTACAAAGATTTTTAAAAAATAATAAGACAATTTACAGTGAAAATAATCATATTAACTGTAATCTTTGTTAGGGACAATCAAGCCATTAAGATATGGAGTTGGATCGTTTCTTAAGAGAGTTGGTTGATATTTTTATGTGTTGAAGTAACTGTATGTACATATTGAACTTTTTTTTCCTTGTAAAATAGCTTCTTGAGAGATGAAATGTTTCTCATACATCAAATTTTTATAATTATCCGTGACAATAATGAGACAAAATGAAAAAAAAAAAGTAAGTGGTTGCTCATATAATTGGTAGGTGGTGGAAAAGTGTTCCCTTGACCACTAACTCACTTCATCATGTGGCACTTCATTAAAACTGAACTTGTCCTGTGGAACAGAACGCAAAACTTTTTTTAATGTTAAAATTGGGAAGACAGGTTTGTCTGGTATGCCAGGTACCCGAACCAGACCCTTGTTAATGTGAACATATTGTCAGATGCTTGTTATTTCCTGTTACCAAAGAAACCATATCTTTACTTTATAAAGGAAATTCTCTTGGTTTCTCTATATGCATATAGCCATGTCTGCACTATTTCCCTATTTTAGTTGATTTTTTTCGAAATGCCGGTTTTATGCATTATGTGTTAACTTGGGGGATATATTTGCAATGCTTTTTTTCTCCTATATTTGTGTCTCATTTATATGATTTTCCAGGATGATTCAGTCCTTGAAGGGCGAAACTACAAAGTCAGAAGATATGTTTGTACAGCTTCAAGAAATTCAAGTCTCTGTTAGGCTTGCATTTTTAAACTGTTTTCTGGATTTTGCAGGTATCATTGATGTGGTTTTGTGTTTTAAAGTGCTTTTGGTACCTGCGCAGAAATTTATTATGCATATATTCTTTCTCCATGAATCAGCTCATTTGGAGCACATTGCGACCGAGCTTGCACCCAACAAGTCAAGCAATGAAAGTACACATTTACAAAATGGATATTCTTACGAAGGAGAGGAGGCATCATCAGTTGATCTCCCAGGAAGTGTTGTTAATCCCCACCAAAGGCTGTTGATAGTCTTAAGTAATATAGGGTACTGCAAAGACGAGCTTTCTTCCGAGTTGTACAACAAGTACAGTCATATCTGGTTGCAGTCTAGGTATGACGGAATTAACTACTAGTTTCCTTATGAGGGAGGTTTAGTATAACTCTTTTTCCTGGTATAATAATTTACAAGATGGAAGACCTTAAACATACCTTATATCCACAATCACAATTTACGTAAGAATGGCCCAGGTGCTCAGCGTAGTTTTTGATCTGTCAAGCTCAAACTGGCCCAGGTTACTCAGTAGCAATTCTATTACGATTGCTTCATTTTAAAATGAGATGTCTATCTAAGTTTATAGTCCATCTACAAATCTGTATATATTTTCAATGAGGGCCTTTTCATCAACGGTCATCTTCTGGTCTCCCTACAGGAGAGGCTCAGATTTCACTCCTATGCAAGTTGTTTTTTTTTTTTCTTTTGACTTTTACCTAAAGAAGTCCTATCTTTTTCTTCGCTGGACAGGGAAAAGGATGAGGATGAGAGTGACATCCAAGATCTAGTTATGTCTTTCTCTGGCCTTGAAGAGAAAGTCCTTGAGCAGTATACTTTTGCTAAGGTATGGCTAAAGTTTAAATTTTTTTCATAAGTTTAAGTCAGAAAGCTGCTTTTGCACATAACCATACTGGAAAAATGTACAACCAGAATTTCAGGATGAAAGTTTCTCTTAACTATCTTACTGTGTTTATTGGCTATCACTATGTCAAGCATGTGTTACTATCCAATAAACAATGAACAGCGTCTAAACATAATTGTGTTTCAGGTTGAGGTTGCCTGTCTGGTAGTAAATAACTAGAATTTGTTATTTGTTTATCCTGCCAAAATTAATGGCAATGCCCTTGTTGCTTCAGTGACCTGTACTGTTTTTGTTTGATTGCCCTTATTAGGCTGGAGGATGGCTCGTATGGATCTTCCGTAAGCACCATACAGGCGCACATACCAACAAATAATCTGTATTGTTGTTAATCCTGGAAGAAAATTCAATTTAGAAAGTAAATGATATCTGAATCACCTTAAGGTGGAAGCAGAGTGCATTTACTGCCAAAGCTTAAATTGTTACTTGACCTAAAAACGTTAATTCACGGGACCCAGAAGCAATAATTGTGAGCTATATCAAATTTTCAGATCAGTTGTCTTACTCAATAATGCGAGGAACCTTCAGTCATTTTAACATTCAAAAGAGAATGAGGGTTCTGATTTTGTTGCTCTTCTCTGTTGTTTTAATTAAATTCTAAAGAACTTAGTAGAGTGTTGACATTTCATGAGGTCTTATATCTGTTCCTTATATGCCAGACGAATCCATCAGTCATGACTGTCTTATTTTTTTCTTAAAAAAATCAAGTATAAAGTATAGTATTAATAATGGCACTAAAGGGTGTCAACTCATTTACGCAAAATTTACATATCAATCAAAGTATCAATAAGGTCTCTTTAGTTCCTCCACCGAGTGAGGAGAATGACCCATTAACAAAAAACCAATGGTCTGGATGACTCTGTCTTCTTGTTCAACCAACTTATTTGAAAATACAGTGAAAAATTATTGAAGTGCATTTTATTGGACTGTGATATTTATTTAGAATGCTGAACTCTGAGATTTGATATTTCAAAATTTTATGTGATACTACATGTATTTTCCTGAATTTTCTGGCCGCATGATTAGACATTTTCAGTTGGCAGTTATTTGGCAGTTTTCTTGGAACACAATTATATAGCATTTGAGCTAATCTAAAGCGTAGGTTTTTGAAGTATGGTTTGGTACTTCCACTTTTCAGTGAGAACCCAAACTGTTTTTAAACCTGAAAGTGGAAAAAAAAGCTATATAACATAAAATGAAGAAACAAACACATCTAGATCTTATCTTCCTGAACTTAGTCATCTCAGCATAAAATTATTAATAAAATGGCTGGGTTGGATGCTACTTACATGCCACAATAAAATGCAATATTGCTCCAGTCTGTCTGCCAATATTTACTCTATGCTTCCTAGACCATATGCTGCTTCTATTGCAACATATGAAAATTCAAGAATAGTAGAAGGGGCTAACCTCTTTCTTGCTTAGCAGTATTTCTTGTTAGCATGTCCAATTTTCAGCTTTCACTTACTAAGTTATCATTTTCTTTTGCAGGCAAATTTAATCAGAACAGCTGCCATGAATTATTTATTAGATTCTGGTGTTCAATGGGGCTCAGCACCTACAGTCAAAGTGAGGAACTACTGAACTTCGTTTGGGTTATGGTTTTCTTCATATATGGAGTATTCATCAACTGATGGGTGAGTGATCCTATTTTCAGGGAGTTCGCGATGCTGCTGTTGAGTTATTGCATACTCTAGTGGCTGTGCATGCAGAGGTACGCACTGTGTAGCTAGTGGGGCAGGTGTTCTATATATACTTAGGTCTTATTGGTTTTGTTCCTTTGTTGTTTGCTCGCCTCATCTTATTCATATTTTTCTGCTGCAAAAGACATCCTCTGTTGTTTTTGTCTTATTACTCATGAATATGCTTGTTCAGTTTCTCATAATGATATTTCCATTTTGATTGAAAAAAATTCATTTTGCAATATTGGCACTATATACTTTATTGCAGGTCTTTGCTGGTGCTAAGCCCCTCTTGGACAAGACACTTGGCATTCTGGTTGAAGGTCTTGTTGATACTTTCCTCAGCCTCTTCCATGAAAATAAAGAAAAAGATCTTAGATCACTTGATCAAAATGGTTTCTGCCAATTGATGCTTGAGGTAACTTTTGTTCATTTACTTTCTTTTCACTGGAGAGATCTTGAATCAATTTGATAAAAAGACAGTTTTTGAGCAATTTGTATTTGTTTCGGAGAATGTAGGTTCCAAAAATGTACTTATGTTTCAGCTTTTGAACAAATTCTTAAGCTTTGGCTTCTCATCCAATATTCACAGATGATCAAAAGACAAATTAAAGGATTTCCCAAACAAACAGTGCAATGAAAAAAAAAGAGCTTTTCTTCTCTTAGTTTTCTGTTGGTTAATTTGATAAAGATGATTACTCCTGATGGCTAATTCCATTTAACTACTGCCTGCAGCTGGAATACTTTGAGGCTATACTGAATCCGTATTTTACCGCGGATGCAAGAGAATCTTTGAAGTCTTTGCAAGGGGTACTACTGGAGAAAGCTACTGAGAGCGCCAGTGAGGTTGTTGAGAATCCAGGGCATCACCGCCGGCAAACTCGAGGGAGTGAGGATACTGCTTCTGAAGACAAACAGCATGGGATGACTGTGTCTCCTGATGACTTAATTGTAAGATTCTTCATCTCACAGATACTCAAGTATGCTAAGTATAGATTGTAAAAGTTGATTCTATCGCATGCCTACTATGTGGGTAAAACCAGGCATCATTAGGGAGTTCTTTGGGGAACCTAAAGCTGAGAGTTCAATAAAATAAATCAGTTGTTGTGGTCAAAGCTTGTTTAGGAATTAATTATATTAAAGAAGGCAAAGGGGAATTTGAACCTGTTCTTGTTTGGTTGAAAATAGTAAAGGTAGGAGTCTAATAAAATGAGAGATATGTATTGCCGCTTAAAAAAAGCTTAGAATGTAGCAAAATTGGGTAATTACAGAACTATAACAGTTTGAAAAAAAAATGGAGCTATAACAAAAGGGTACAGGGGATTAATTATAAACTTCTTCCAACCCTCCAGTGTAAGGGATTGAATTATTAGGAATTTAGAGGGAGGGTTATAACTCAAGGAGTTCAATGAGCTCCTAACTTATCTTGGTTTACTTTTTACTTTATCAAAAACTATCGAATATGGTTGATGTTAACTCCTAATTATTCACTCCTTTCTGAATAGAAGGGGAAAAAACACTCCCAGGCAACCTGTAAAAGTATGGAAGTAGAAGAAATTAATTTGCACTGTGTATGCATAATCATAACTAAGATGTATTATGTTAGTATGTCCCAATGGTGGATGGTACGTGAAAAAGACTAATATTTCAATGATTCCTACAAAAGACCAACTGTTTCAAAAATACCGTTTTGTTTGGAATGCTAGTTTATCAAGCTTTCTTATTTTCTAATTGAGCTAGGTGGGAAAAGCAAAATTTTCACATATTTCAGGTTTTCTTTTGTATAAAATGTTTGTCCTGTTATAGCAGTAAAATTGGAGTTTTTTTTCCCTTCTTGTTCTGTGCTTCAGGCTCTTGCACAACAGTATACCTCTGACTTACTTGAAGCGGAACTCGAGAGGACCCGCATCAACACAGCATGCTTTGTGGAGTCACTTCCGTTGGAGTCAGCACCAGAATCAGCTAAAGCTGCATATGCTTCTTTCAGAGGACCAATGGATTCTCCCAGCAGAAACAACCGAAGTGCACAACCAGCTGGATCCCCAAGTTTTTCTCGGCAAAGGCGTAGATAGAATAGTCAGTTCCCGCATTTTCTTTTTTCACTTCATTTCTCCCTTGCTGTATGTCCAATTGTTGTATGGTAATTTTTTTCACAGCTTATGAAAGCAGTTCATGTTCTTTTTTTTTCTAAACGTCCTTCATGAGCTTGGATTTTTCTTTATGATCCGGCAGGTATTTTATTCTGTATAATTATTTATGGCCTAAAACTATGTAAATAAATTGCTTTTAGTGGTGATTGTCAATTGATTTTTCGTGGTGCTGCATATTTCAATTCAAACAGCCACGGGTGGAATGACTCCCGGACTATCAGCCTTAACCAGATTAGATTTTTCAAAACCCAGATAGACTGATTAAACATATTTAATGTTCCCTAAGTACCCTTTTGTTACCAAGTGTTAAAATCTAGAATACGGGCTTGGGAAATTTTTTATTTTTTTTCTAAGTAACTCGGTTCATAATAAAGTTATGGTGCAAGTGTAAAGGTTCGGAACTTAAAAGGTAATAAAGTTATAAATAAAATGTGGAAGCGAAATAATAAATTTTAAAATTTACATTTCTTATATAATAATTTAGAATGCTTAATAAGATTACGGAAACATTCCTTTTGAAAGGATAAACGAAAATTAAAGAAATAAACAAAAGATAAATAACTGAATATTTTAGAACGAGTTTCATTAACTTTTGAAGAGAGTCTGGGTGGTGAACTTATTCACAACTTTCTTATTAATCGAGATCTAAGTTTTAGTTCTCTTGATTTGAAATAGTTAATGAAATAGTAAGTTACACTAACTTAGTAAGAATATCGCACTATTCACCGATACAAAAACTGAAAATTGGTAAAAATTATAAAAACAACCAATGGAGCTCTTGATTTAAATAAATTCATTTATCATAAGGAAAATCATTTATTACGTATATTTACCGTTTGAGATTTTCAAAATCGACCTATAAAGACAATAATTCAAATAACATTCTACTCTCATTTTCAAGTAAGCAATAACAACCATTTTTCCTTTTTATTTGCCTATTGATATCCCTGAGGACTCATAAGGATGTCCCACTACGCGTGAACCAATATCTAACATTGTCAACTAACCGGCTGTCCCCATACCCCATCTGATAGGAGTGCAAAAAATATCATTTATTGATACCCCATCCAGTATGCAATAACGTTCACGGTAGAGTTCCATATGTACTCGGTCCGTGTACCATCAATCAGGATATTCAGTAATACTATCATTCATTAATTCACATGACTAAAAAATTTTATGTTTTTATTTTAATTTTCAATTTCACAAATCAACTATAAATTACGCAAGACAAGCAATACATATATTAAGGAAGCACAACTGAATCATTTAAATATTTCAGTATACTATCATGTATTTAAA